AGAAACTGAGGCTAAGAGAGCTAAAGGGATTTTCTCAGGGTCTTTTGATTTTTACAGTGCCACACAAATTCACTCTTCTAGTAAAAGTGATAAAAAGGATAACTCAACAATATTCTTATGTAAGTAGAAGTTACAAGATTAATAAATTACAATAATGGGGAAGTTTTATTTTATATAAGTAATTGCTTTAATAGATTGGGATAGTTATTACTCTTATAAAAGTAGTAAAAAAATATGGAATTGACCAAGTACTACTCTGCTTTAGTTGATTCCTGCAATGCTCATGCAGATCAGTGCACCATATTCTAAGAGACATGGATGAACTTTTTTGTTTAGGGGAGAGGCATTGGGTTTATGAGATGACTTGAAGTTATGTCTAATTAGGGATGGCTTACGTAGGAAAAGATGAGAACTTGAAAAGATGACTTACATGCTTGTGGAATGAATGGTAGGACACAGGCCAGCCAGCCTTCAGTTCTATTAAGCAGCACTCCCATGTATAGGCTTTCATACATAGAAAGTGTCACTCTTATTCTGGTGGCCCCAAAGATTTGGGATTGGGCTTAATGGATGGAAGTCACAAGAAAACAGATTTATACTGAATATTAGGACCTTCCAACTATGAACTATTATAATTCTATGAATTTAAGTACAGCTAAAACAAAGGCCCCCAAGTGAATTATTTTCTCTAAAAAGAGTGATATTAATTAAAATTAATCTATTTGACATAAAATAAGCATTATTAGTGCCTCTAAAAGACCTGCATTATAATTCTACATTAATTGATTGAGCATGATTTTAGGTAGAATGGGAAATACATTATGCACAGTCTAAGTCATGGGTAATCAGTCTTTATGACTCTTACAAAACTGTTTTCAATAGCATCCATTCACCATCTGGATTGTAGTAACAGTCATGCAAGATTTCTACTCTATGGATTTGGGGTCAGCTTGAAAGGAGTGTTTTCCAGGTCTCTACACATTAACCATATGAATCTTTTACATGAGCAAGCAGCTGTTTCCTGCTGTCAATAATTCCAGGTATATTAACATGTCCCATAGACCTTGCAACTATTGCAGAATCTCTCAGGAGTATGACCCCCTAGGTCTTGGCTTAAAGGAAAAAAAATCTACTACTTCCTTAATGTAGTAATAGATTATTCAAATGACTGCTGAGTCCAGGAAATCTTTATTGAGAAAGAACTCTAATGTTAATCCTCTAATTCATGTCCCACCCCTTTTTTTAAAACTATTTTTGAAATCATGAATCACTCTGAATTGAATAAAGTAGGGAAGATTTGATCAGAAGTGTTAAAATAGGTTAAGACTCCCTAACTGTACTCCACAGGGAAGGGAAATGTGCCTTGTTCAAATGTGGCTGCTTAATTTAAACCATCAATAAGTGCTTGCTTAACTCATTTGCAGCAGCATCCTTTGGTGAAGCTAAAACTTTGTATCTTCCATTCAAATTGCAATCTTTGAACACCTGCTCACTTATGTCATGTACCATGCTCAAAAATATCATTTCTTCTTTGTCAAGCCCCTAGCTGGTAGTGATTATGTATCCTGGGCATGCTTTTTCTGCTTCTGGTATCAGCAGAGCTCTCTAATGGTGCCGTGGATTGAATTCCCCACCTGCCCCCACAACCAAACCCGTTGAGTTTCTAGGTATGGAAAACTTGGCTCCCACTGTGACAGTGTTGAGAGAATGGGAAAGTCTATTGACTGAAAGATGGCACCTTGAAGAGATGATTAGATTGTAAAACCATGTTGTAACGAATGGAGTAGTAATGTTGGTCAGGGGCGTGGTTCTAAAAGCTTTAAAAGGAGAACATGTGAGCACTCTCTCTGCGCCACCATTTCTGCCATATGAGACCCTTGGGTCACTGTTGCCGTCATCAGATATGTTCCCTGGAATTTGGACTTCCCAGCCTCCAAAACTATAAGCGATAAATTTCATTTTCTTATAAATCACCCAGTTCTAGGTATTTTGTTATAAGCCACAGAAATGGACTAATACAAATGGTTTATGGTAGAACCCCATGCATTTGATTCTTAGTTTTCATTGTGCATTAGAAATAGTCAAATTTTATATCCTATATCTAAAGTTTTTATTTCATTACTTTTATACCTCAAAAGCTACGTATGCTAGTAAATTGTCAAAGAAATATTAGACTACATCTAAGAATTCTTCAGGGAAAAAATCATTTAAACTAAGGGCCAGTTTAAATTTTGAGTTTTACTATGGGAAATGCGTGTCATTGTTAGGCTTAAAACATATATGGGGAGAAAATAAATAATTTGAAGATAAAGGTACAAGGTTCTAAAAAAATCCAAGAGGCCAACGCTGGCTGCATTCATTCAACATTGACATAGCCTCGCTTATGGGAAGAAAGAGGGGTAAGAAGTGGAGATAAAGAGAAACGCTGCTACATTCTGGATCCTAATTTCTACTATATCACCATAAGATCTCGGGTAAATCATTTGGTGTCTGTTTCTGTCCCATCTGTAAGATAAATTATATGGTATAATAGGGTTGGTGAACTTTTTCTGAAAAGGGTCGAATAGTAAATTTTTTACCCTTTGACAAGCATATTGTCTTTGTCACAGCTACCCAGCCCTGCCGCTGGAATGAGAAAGCAGCCATAACCAATGCAAATATATTAGTATGGTTGTGTTCCAATAAAACTTTACTGACAAGGACAGATGACTGTGCTCACAGGCTGTAGTTTGCCAACCACTAGTATAATATCTACTTAATAAAGACAATTTAATAATATTTAAAGATGTACCATAAAAACAAAAGATAAAGACAATGGTGTATAAAGGAAGCAGACTTAAAATAAGACGGCCAAAGAGGAGAGTGATGTTTATCTAAGAGAAAGACTGGTATCATGAGGTAAATCAACAAAACCCAAAGACCGAGATCTGCAATCTATTTCTGATGAACTTTATCATGGAATCTAAACCACTATTGGAAAATTTTAAGCATTATAATCAATTTCTGGGAAGTCACTTGGTCTTTCTTCAAGTTTAAAAGAATTAATACTAAAGAACAAAATCCTCTATGTAAAGTGTCCATTATTTTCATGGATGCTATCAACTTACTTAAAAACCATGTTGGCTTGTTTCACTACTATTCTAATTATTTTCCCATTATACGTCAATTTAAAAATCTTTTCATCTAGCAGATAATATTTATTTCACATACAAAGGGGATCAAAATATTGTTTTGTCTTTTTCTCATGTGTCATAAATCCTTATGATGCAAAATCATGTGCCATTTCAGTCTCCGATGTGTCAACATCGATTATTTGGAACACTTTATCAGAACAATTTGCCAGTGCGACTGTAAAGTGAAATATTGGCATGGTCTGAAGAGGGAAGAAAATTGTTATCTCATGGTTCCTCCTAGTCTATAATTCTTCTAAAATTTGAGAAGCAAATTTAATAAACTGAGAATTTTGTGGGTATATACAATTTCTTATCTGAAACCCATGGGGCCACATGTGTTTCAGAATACAAAACTCCAAATTTTAGAAACACAATATGGTTCATATAACACATAGCTTATATACCACCTCCAAGGAAATCTGGAACAGCACTCCATAATCAAATATATTAATTTGGCTACAACCAAATTTGTTTAGACCACACTGAGTAAAGATCATGAATAGCCTGGTGTCGTACAGTTCAGATTTTACTGACAAATGCCTTTGCTTCAAACTTGCAAAAAACCTTTTGGTTTTCAGAGATTTTTGAATTTTGGGTAAAGGACTATGAGCCTATAACATGTAAAAACAAAACAAATCTTTTGGTAGACTGTTTCTTTTCAAAGAGAGCCACACTGTTGAATATTTCAATGCTATAGACTTGTTACTGAAGATACTTTGAAGCATGAATTCATGAATAAGCTCAAATTCTTCCACTAGATGCACAATTACCAAAAGAAATGTCTCCCTCTGCTCCAGTGAGTCTCAATTTATTTTCAGAGCCAACACACATGGCAGGGAACCCACTTTCATCACTCGGTCACTTGGGCAGTAATTTTTAACCAAAAGGGCTTGTTCCTACAGGACAGATGATTCTGATGCAAGCAATCTCCCATCCTTCAAGAATCTTTGGTTTTCTTCTCAATAAAACGATGGCTCTTGTAGCTCTGGCAGTAATTGCAACTCTATATTTTAACTGGCACTGATATCTGTAGAGCTCCTTTGGTTATTTTAAGTTTGGAGCAGCACCAGATCAGTATACATAGAGACCCAGACCACCAAAAAGATAATAGTGTCCTCCCTGATACAGAACTCAAAATAAAAACAATACTAAATCATGAAACACATGTAAGAAAGTCCATCCTAGATCACATCTTTCTTATGAAGCTTGGGTGCACTCTTCTTCCCGTTTTTTGCTGATTTTGACACCCCCTGCTTTGCTATGGTCTTCAGCATGAGCCTGTTCTTCCCCCTGGGTGAGCCTTCAGACTTGCAGTCTGAGCCTCCAGTGGAAGAGGGATGAGGAGAGAGAGAGAGAAAGGAAGAGAGGGAGGGAAGGGGAGAGAGAGATTGGGTAGAAGCACCCCAAACTGCCATGCAGTGTAAGAAATGTTCTGCGAGTCCACTGGAGAATCTTTAAGCTAAAGCAGCTGTCAGAGGAGTTCTATGTCTTCTGGGAAGGGCCTGCCTTTAGTATCCCTGCCACACTCAGTCAATGGCCAAGAGAAACCATGGAAGGCATGGCCTCAATGAAAATACAGTGATGGATTTCAAAGAGCAGCAGCTGGGCCCTTAATCAATTGTGTTCTCTGTATTCCCCATGTACTGGAGGTCTGCGTCACAAATCTTCAGTGTGGCAAAGCAGCTCAGTATCCCCTGGAAAAAGCTTTCCCTGAGTAGCATCTATGAAAGCCCTCCAAAACCTTCTCACTATCATAGGATTGGAAGAGGAAAAGGGAAAGGCAAAAAGTAAAAGCAAATGTTACCTGAATAACACAAACCCACAAAGTTTTCACACTTGTAAACAATGCACCAGATGTTTTATTTCTCTCCATAGTTCATATGCACGTAATTGACTCTCAAGGCATTTTAAAAAACACAACAGACATGATTACACCTTACCAGTAAATGACTGTCCCAGGAAATTAAATCAAATTAAAATATTACAAATATTTGAAAGTTTATTTCTAAGCCAACTGAGATGGTGAGTTTATAGATTTCCATTCTTTTTCTAAGTTCAATGTTTTGTACATGCATTTCTAGAAAAAACCATCAGTGCAATACAATTTCTTAAATATTCAGGACATTGTCAATAGTTGTAATTCATATAAAAATATTCTGGTATCCCAAATTCCTGATTAAGTCAGTGTTAAATATACAAAATACTAGAAGACTTGCTATGAAATTGCTTAAAATGTTCCTTTTAATGGATTGCAATTAACCACTAATATAGAAATTTTATTTAAAGCTAGAAGCCTTATATATGATACTTTTCTTCACAGAAAACAAACAAACAAAAAAGAACGATGTTGAAAAGGCAATGACTACCAGAGATCAAACATTTGGGGTATTAGTTACTGCATTCTCTTTTTAGATGATACATTAAACACTAGGAAAATGTTAAAGGTTTTACAGCCAGGTCTTAGAAAACATAAAATAATGATGGTAGAACCACTACCACACATCAACGAAAATAGAGCAAACCAAGTGTGTACACATCTTCACCTCATCATTAATTCCATGATTTGAAATAAATGCCACATTAAACACCATGAGCAAGTCTAAAGGTTCATTCGAGGACATTAAAGACTTTTGAGTAGTTTTTCCTTAAGTTTTAATAGGCATCATATCTCTGATCAGCTTAAGTGAGATGCAGAAAGAACAAAAAAATACTGTACTGAATTGACTCCCATAGGCTTGCTTCCTCAAAGAATACATGTAACACTTATTTTCCACAGTGTTGTTATATATGTCTTATTTTACTTATATATAAAGAAACTAGAAATTTTTCGTTCTTCCTAGTAAGTGTTCAAAATACATTTCTAGGTATGCATTAGAATTAAATGTTAATTTATGATGCCCTTTAAAAGTCCTTCAACTTCTAAAATCAATTTCTGGGAATATAAAAATATTGCATTTTACATATTTCTGAGTCTTGAAAAACTTAAAGTGCAATATTTTCAGGTATCAGCAAATTATAATTGTGCCATATAAGCTCATTTTGAAAGAGCATGTAAATAACTTTCAACATTCTGTGAATGCTACATTACAGAGAACAGAGTATACAAGGGTTCCCTGGTGTAATGGTGAGCACTGTGGACTCTGAATCCAGAGTATAGATATTTTAAGGCTTGACTGTTCATATTTCTTTTATTATAGTGCAAGGAGGAAAAATAAGCACCAAAGGAAGGCATGTTTTTTATTAGGAGAAAAACAAAGTTTTCATGAAAAGAAAACAGGAAACATGTCATTTCTCACTTTAGTGGCTTTTCTTCAGTCAGTTACCTGGTTTAAGTCAGTTACCTGGTTTACCAAAAAATGTTATCTCTGTTCAATTATTGAACAAATTATTCTTAAACAAAATGTCAAAGTGTCCAACATTTATCCATGGCTAAAACTGTTCCAAAAACACTAGTTATTCTAAGTTCCTTTTTTTATTTTTCAGTAAGGACTTTAATTAAAAATAAGTCTATTGCCCTTTGCTTCACAATTTTAATATTAATGAAAATTTAACTCTGAATTTGAAGTGATGTTTGTTCAAGGGTCTGACCGTTTGTGTAGCAGTGTAGAAGTAGATTGCTAACATACACTTGGTTACAAAGTTAGAGTCAAAATTAAAAGCGGAAAATTAGAAAACCCAGTACTAGCTATTCTATAAAAGTAAAACTAAATAATTGCTTGAAAAATTCTTTTTAGTAAGATAAAGAGGAGTGATTTATAGACAATATTGACTGTTTTTTTATCACGGTAGCAGCCTTTGCAGATCTGTGATTAAGATGGTATCTGGGGCCTGAGAAGTTTCAGTGATGACTGCTTCATCAGTTTTTGCTGGTGTCTTGCTGACTGAGCATCCTCAATGGCATTATATACTCTCTGTAAAATAAAGTATTTATTATGAATTGTAATGACAAGCACAGGTTCATCTGGTGGAAGAGAAAGATAAGAAAGCAAGAGTTAGAGCTCTCGACACAGGTCTAATAGCTAAGGACAAAGACACAGTCCAAACATGTTGTGCAAAATAAGACCTTTCTGCCCTATTGAGTCCACAGTATACATGAGCTTATATATCCATCCAAAGTTATGTCTGGAAGAGCCTTTGGGAGAAACGATGGAAACTGTTAACTGTAACAGGCTTTTTAAAAAAATCTTTTAGATAAAAGAATTGAGGGACATTCTTAAAAATAAATTGTTTACCTGTGCTGTAATGGTGTCCTTCAGGTAAATTTTCCGAAGATAGCCTGGATTGGCACTGTCTTTTTTGTGGAACAGACTCTGCTCCTATTTCAAAAGAAACAATGACAGGAAAGAAATTATTCTGGAGAAGAAAAAAAATCATCTTCTTTAATTGGATGCTTAAATGTCAACTCTATTTTATAAATAGTAGACTAATCAAAAACACTTATTCAAGTATGATATGAAGTAAATCATCTTGGTACAAGGACAGTAGTTCCATATGTGAGTTGTCAGAATTTATGAAATTGAATGAGTATATATCTGTATAAAATAATGGCTTTCTGCAGGCTATGATAAATAGCCTACAGAAACACCATTTGATAACTCATCATGTCTGACAAATCAAAAAACTCTTCCTTCATTTCCTTGGCTGATAGATAAAATTCTTATATAATGTAAAATACATTGAGTTAATTCTCACCAATGATGTGAAAGAAAAGTGATAACTGAGAAAACTGTAAATATATGCATAGTCTTTCCTAGTCTGAAAACTATATTTCATACACCAAGGCAATCTTTAAATTCTTACACTCTACAATGAGCTAATGCTGAAATACAAAATGGTACAGTGACAAGGTAGTTTCTTTTATTTGTAAATTTCCCTGAAAAGTAAACACAAATTAAAGGATAACAGTACTCAAATCTATTAAATTTTGCAGTAAATGTTTTTCAGATAGTTTCAGTAATAGAGATAACATCATTATTGTTTAGGAAAAACAAATATACTATAGAAATTACCATATTTAAAATGGCAATTCATAGTTTTTTAAAAGAGATGAAAATAAACTTATGTTATATATAATATAATAAACGTGTTTTAAAGTGAGTCTGAGAACTAAGCAAAAGATGAGTTACCACTTTTGCTAATTTCTATGTAATTAAAGTAAAAGTTTTTCCTTAGAAAATGACAGGAGGAGAGAAATAAAAGTACTGTTACATACTTAAATTGTATGAATAGCCTATAAATGCCCAAAATGATAAAACATGGGAATTTTTAGACATAATATTTTTACAGAAGTATTTAATAATCTCCTAAAAGCCTAAAAAAGGTAATCTTTCCAGGAATGTCTAAGATTATAGAAAAATGGGTATCTATATGAAGTAAAAAACCCTCCTATTTACTTATGCTTAATTCTACCAAAAAGAAAGTCTTAGCATATCAGCATCCTAATTCTTTTGGTAGACAGACCTGTATTTCCCTCTATGCAATCAAGGAGCCAGAAAATAAAGTACAGTTACACAAATAAATTGATTACATCTTTCTTTACATCTCAGCATATAACAATAATAATAATAATAATACCAATCCTTCAAACATTTTGTGTAGTTAATTGTAAAACAGAAGCAGAAAGCACTGGTCTCCCCTCATTTAATGAATTCTTGGCTCTAAAGGTGTGCTTCATGTTTTCTTACCTTAACTGAAATTTTTAGCAGATTTTCACTGACACTAGGAGGAAATACAAAATCTTCAAATGGACACTGCCAGTCTACAGACATATGGCCTAGGATTTCAACTTCCTTTATACATAACACTCGCCTGTTTTGCAAAAGAAAACAAAAACATACAGGTAGTGATAAAGACAGTTAATTATTCTAATATTTCATTCTGCTGGTAGCACTTGCTTAACAATAAAACTGTAAGTAAACAATAAAAACTGGTACTAAAAAAAAGTATGCTTCACATTTTTAAAAAATTCTAGATAACTGTCAAATAAAGAGCATATATGACAACTACCAACTAACAAAGCCGACTTTCAAAACTTTCCCTTCTGCCAATCTTGGAGAATTCAGAAAAGTGTACCTTTTTTTTTTTAAACTCATCACAAATAAAGAGCATATATGACAACTACCAACTAACAAAGCCGACTTTCAAAACTTTCCCTTCGGCCAATCTTGGAGAATTCAGAAAAGGGTGCCTTTTTTTTTTTAAACTCATCAAAAAAAAGGATAGGGAAATCATCTTTGAAACACCTAAGAAACAGGCAGTACTCTCATTTGGGAAACAATAAAGGCGGAAGCCCTGAAAATGTTTTACTTGGAAAACTATTAATTGCTCTTTACTGTCAGTCATCATTTATGCCTTCCAGTCAAGAAAGAATGTGCAGGAAATGTCACAAACCTCAAATGTCAGCAAAGATTCACTTTAGGCCTACTAATAAATATCAGATCTGAACGCTTTCACACTAATGTACTATAGCGCAGAGTGAGTATCCCACTTTACTCAACAGCAATAAAAAACTAACAGAATCCTGAAAGGGCATCCACATTGATTTCCAGTGTATGATTCAGATTAATTACTGATATAACTATACTTGATATTAAGTTTCTATGACAGAAAGCAGAACTACAAAAGTAAAATTGTTAATTCAACAAATATCTAGGGTACCAGAGAAACAAAGATAAGGTTTCTGCTTGAGAAGTACTCATAGGCTAGAAGAGAAATAAACATGTAAATGCTACAACACAATTAGACAGGGGCCTTAACAGAGTGTGCAGAAAAGCCTTCTGGAGCACAGGAGAGAGGGGCAGACTGGACTGGTAAAACAGATGACATACAAAAGTTGACTCTTTAGAGGAAGGAGTTCTCTACACGGAAAAGGGGAAATGACAGTCTAGACAAAAGGAAGAGCACACTGACCTATATAGAGGTATAAAAGAGGGAAGACTTATTTGAGGAATGGCTTTTTTGTTGTTGTTGCCATTTTAATAAATTTTGACTTTACAGGCAATAAGAAATGGCATGATGAAGTTTCTTTTTTAGAGTCATCGTTCCAGTGGCAAACAGATGGGAGGTGGCATAGAAACTAGCAGCAGACAATCAAGGCAGGAAGCAGTAGCTACTGCAATAGTCCAATCAGGAGACAGTGAAAGCCTCAATTACGGCAGCAGCTGTGAGAAGGGAACAGAAAGGGCTGGCTTCCACATGTTTAGAAGAGACCTGAACGAAGCTGGCAACCAAAGGAGCATGAGAAACTAAACTAGACCCCTGGCACGATATTTCTCAGTGGAGGTGCTACTGAAATTTTGGGCTTGTTTGGAACTGCATTGTGCACTGTAGGAAGTTCAACCTCCCAGCCTCATAAGTGCCAGTAGTGGCCTCCAATCATTGTGACAACCTCCAATACCCCCTCAGATTTCCAAACAGTCTCTAGGAGATGGATCCACTCCTTCCACCCCCAGCCCCAGCTGAGAATTAGATGACAGAGCTAAGAGTTAAAATGGCTGCTACAACAAATCCTTCCGTCAAATGCAATTCACTATTCTGAACATCCCTAAACTCTCTTTTCCTGAGTACCCCAATAATACTATTGTTCTCCTACCACCTTAAGTCTCCTTCATTCTCTTTCTCCTGCTCCATGTTCACCAGGGTTAAAATCCTGGTCAGCTTCGATTCAACACACTCTCTTACGTGATCCCCAAGACCTCAACTCCAGATCTTTATTCAAACTCCGATTTATCGATCTACCTACCTATCTAATATATGTAATGTAGATACATCGGTTCATATATGTCTATATCTGTATCTATTTGTCTAATATATACATAATGTAGATATATAGGTATATATGCACGTATGTATATATCTAAATCTAAATCCATCTGTCTATATCTGTCCCCTGACCATGGAAGCATCTCCATTTTGATATATCAAAGCTATGTCAATCAAACTCAGTAAGTTCAAAAACAAACAAACAAAATCACCATCTTTTCCCTCAAATTACCATAAATGGTACCACCAGCCCTTTTGGTATGCAAGTAGAAAAGCAGAGAGTCATCTTATATTCCCTTCTCTTCCACATCCTATCAGTCAGCAAGTGCCATCTCTTAAGTCTACTCCGTTATTTCCACCCTCATTCTTCTAGTTTAGGTCCTCACCTCTTCCCACCCGATAACTGCCCTAGTCTCTGTGGTGGAAAGAATTCTAAGAAGGTCCCTAAGAGTCTCCATCTCCTGGTGTATGGCTCCAGGACTGTCAATATGATAGATTTTACTTCCATGATTAGGTTTTGTTATAAAGCACAGGTGCCTTTAAGCAAAAACCGTTTACGGTGGTGGGCTGACCTTTACATGCACTCTTTAAATCTGAGTCAGAGACCAAGAAGCCAGAGATTCAAAGGCAACTTGCTGGCTTGAGGATGGAGGCAGCCACATGGCAAGGAATGAGGGTGCCGCTAGGAGCTGAGAGCAGCCCCCCGGCTGACAGAGATCAAGTCAACAGGGATCTTAGTCTGACAACTGCAAGGAACTGAATTTTGCCAACAACATTATCAGAGCTTAGAAGTAGATTTTGTGGTAGTTTGTGGTGTAGCACTAGAAAACAGTCTCTTTCTGGTCTCCCTGTCTCCAGTCTGATCCTCCTCTAATCCACTATCCAAACTGCTTCCAGATATCATTGTAAACTGCAAACCTCCTCATACAACTCTTTGTTTACAACTGTCCAGTGAGAAAGAAAAGATCACTCATGTGTGTACTATGTGCACATACCTCTGTGTGAGAAGCTGTGAGTGATACTGAACAATAAAATAACAGACTATATCATAAAAAAGACTAGTGATTCTCCATCATGTTATCATTGAAATTTTAAGCCCCTAAGATATGAGATCTCCCAATGCTTCCCCACTAACATCCTACCATCCAGCCATTCCAAACTGATCTTAACTGTTCACAGAGCCACACTGTTTCCTGTCTCTGATTGCCTCTTGTTTACCTGTGTGACAGCTACATACTCTATAAGACTCGTTCAAGTTGCCCCTCCCCAATCTACAAAGCCTCCCCGACACTTTCCCCATGACACCTTGGTCCTCACCTAGACCAAGAGTTTTTCGTATTCCTCAGAGTCTCTGCACATCACTTTTTCTTAGCACCTAACACACTGTATGTAATGTGTAGATCCCTCCCTTCAGACGGGGAAGATGTAACTTTCATCTCTGTGCCCCTGTATCTGTCATATATTGATGGTTTTAAAACAAATCTGCTCAACAATCAATTTTTTAAGATTACTAAATTATGGAGGAGTTAGGACCAACTAGTGGAGCTATAACCTAGTGGTTAAATGTTAAACTTATAAATTTAAGTCACAAGAACTTGTGTGTTGTTTCTAAAAACTGGTAAGAAAAAAAATATTGGAACTAACTTTTGGATGAATTTCAATATGGAAAAATTAAAACTACTATATATTAAAAAACCCAACTTATAATCATTAAAATGTCAATAGTACACTAGGTAAAAAGGGCTAATGTCATTAATTTACAAAATATCCTTTATATTCAGTAAGAAAAAGACTAACATACCAATGAAAAATAAGCAAAGAATATGAACAATTCAAAAAATAGAAAATATAAATGGATGATGATATATCAAAATGTTCATACTCAATAACCAAAGAAATGCTAATTTAAAGAACTATTTTCCACCCATTAAGGTAGCAAAAATGAAAGTTTAAATGATAAAAACTAGTCTTAACAAAACACAGGAGAAAGAACACTTTCACATTGGGAGTGGATGTGAAAAACTGATACAACCTTTTTGAAAAATGACTTGGTAATACACAGAAAAGGCCTCAAAAATCTTCACAACTTTTAAATTAGAGATCCCACTTCTAAGAATTTATTCTAAGGAAATAATAGGCAAAAAATATTTTGCTGCAAAGATATAATAAAATATTGGGAAGGGGAAAACAATGTCAAACAATAAGAGAGGATTTAAATAAATTATAGCACATCCACAAATACATTATGTAGTCATTAAAAATCATGTCAAAGAATAATAGTTTCGAAAGATGATCACAGTATACTGTTAAAACCGAGGTTACTAAAATGCACACAATGCATTTTTTATAGATAATTTTTATAAAATATATATACTGCAAAAATCTGATATGCCAGCTAATAGTGGTTATCTCTGGGTGGTGAGACTGCTGGTAAAGGATGCTTTTAGGGGCTATCATAGAATTTATTACTCAAACTAGGACATTTTTAACAATGAGAGGAATAGCTATTAATATGTTGGGATAAAAGGTATAAATCAGCTCTGATCTAGGCAAACCAGAATGTATTGTTCTCAAACTAGGACATTTTTAACAATGAGAGGAATAGCTATTAATATGTTGGGATAAAAGGTACAAATCAGCTCTGATCTAGGCAAACCAGAATGTATTGTTAACGTTAGTTATTTTCATCTTTTTAATTATCTATATCAGGAATGGGCAAATTACGGCCTTGGAGCCAAATCCTACCCAAGGCCTGTTTTAATAAATAAAATTTTACGGGAACGCAGCCATACCCATTCTTTTATATTTACTGCTCAAGGCTGTTTTCCCACCACAAGCACGGAGTTAAAAGGTTGAGAAACACAGTATGGCCCTCAAAGCCTAAATATTTACTACCTGACCCTTTAAAGAAAGTTTGTCAACTCCTGATCATATTATCTATAACGACTAAGCATTACTTTAGCCAATAAAAAATAAGTTATTTTCAAGAAGACTGAATTTGGAAGAAATACTATTTTTATGTAATTATTACATGTCAAACAGGTCAGCATAATGATAAATAACTCAGTCAAAGAGATTCCTTTTACAAAGTTTATAAAAGCTGGCAAGGAGACTAAGTCATTGCACTGGTCAGGAATATTTTACTAATTACCTCCTAAAAAGCTCCATAAGTGACTAGATTTAAAATTACTATGATTTTTTTTCAATTTACTTGAAGAAAAGCCAGTTATATAATATATACAGTAATATTCCCACAGAATGTTTTAAGTCAAACAACTACTAAAGTAGTATTACATGCAAAAAAAACCCTAATTGGTTCTGATAGCATAGTACTGAAATATATAAAAGGTATACGATTTTCAAATAAACTAACACATTGCTACTATAAGCTCAGTACAATACATAATATAAATAAACATTGTTGGGTTTAGTCTAAGGGAGACAATATAAAATTATAGGCATATAATATAAGAGATTACTTGTCAAATTCGCAAAAGCTGCTTTTTAGATTTATTGTTTTGTGAGTATTTTTACTTAACTAATGTGCAAATCAGACGAGTGGATAACTCCATCTTTTATATGACGGGTTAGCCTTCTCTTTGAAAAAACTTGTAAGTTTAAAAGTGTGAATCATGTCATTCAGCTTTCCTTTGTTTCCTTCTCATCTGAATATATTCAAACACAGTAGTGAGGAATCTAATGCAGATTTTGACTACTGTAAGTACTTTGCCTTAATCCTACAAAATACATCACTTAGAAAGTTCTAAAAATTATTAATCTATAATTGTCATTTTGAGATAAGTTTATTATCCAGGGTAAATTCCAGGAAAATAAGCTTGGTCGTTTAGTCCTAGTTCTTTTATCTGAGAAAATTATCTACCACTTCCAAAATGCTTAGAAAAACAGGGACACACACACAGAAATAAAGCCATCCTTTAAAAGGGGTAAGATAATCACCCCAAATAAAACCTAGTAAGAGAAAGTGATTCATGAATTAACCCTCCAAACTGGATTTATAAATCACATATAACGATATATATAACTGCAGATCTAAAGACTATTCTAGACTCACTCTCTCAGCAGTAGTATAACTGAATAAGTCCCTAAACCATGTTGCATCTCAGTTTCAGCATCTCTAACATGAGGAGGTTGGAACAGATTATTTCAAAGGACCTATCTAAACTCTGGATTTTTGCAGTTCTGTGAAAACGAATACTTTGCCACTGAAGTATAGTTTTCCCTCTGCCAGTTTAGCCTTCAAAATTCTTACGATCTACACAAGTTAAGTTGCATTTGAGAAAATGTCATTTGAAGTTAATACCTGTTTGTAACCATAAGAATTGTCTTCTTGCTTTCAGGAACAGTACAGTGGTATTGGTAAGTCTCTCCTTCCAACTTTTTGATGTGATTCTGAAAAGGAAACCAGACTCAAGATTGGGAAGTATATGCATTCAAATAGTATTTACAATACTGTATGTTACCTAATTATAATAATAGTGTGAGGAAAAATGTATTAAAAACATAGGAACAATTCTGCATATTGGCACATGAAGCTAGAAAAATTGTTCATAGAATGTTTGTAAATTAACTTCCATTGTTGCCTTAAAAGAAATATATGTATCAAATGCTTACCAAGTGATCTTCTGGTAAGATATATTTTGTTCTATAGTAACTCAGAAATTTTAAAACATCTACCAGAAATAATCACACATTTAATTAAGGAACATATAAACATATGCCAGTATAAAATTACTACATTAAGATTACATGGATTCCTAAACAGGAGTCTACAGCAAAACTTTGGAGTGGATCTATGAACCATCTAACATAGAATATAAAATTCTGAAAATGCAGTTCTGCAACTTTTTTCAGAAGATGGTTAGTATTTTTCATCAGATTTTTTGAAGGGCTCTGTGATCCCTCTCAAAGGTTAAGAACCACTAATTTACAGAGAGGTAGATATTACATACATAATAAAATTCTAAGATAACTGATGTTAAATGTTTTTGAATATTTGGTCTTATAGATTAAACATGCATTGAGAAGTATATTTATATATCAAATTATATTTCTTATAGAAAAGAAAATGTAATGACAATATTAATCTAAACGAAGAATTTCTAAGACTTCAAAATAGCTGGCACAATTTATTTCTAAAGTCAAATACAAGCATAAAATAATTCAGGTATAAACAGTAGCACATTAAAATACATTTATTTTCCTTTTCAACTAACTCAAAACTATTGTGACTTGAATTAGGCAACACACATTAAAAACCAACAAAATAGTTTTTTAAATGAATGCTAATGAAATATTATTATTGATATTACCTGTATTACATGATTAAAGATCATATATGTGAAAATACAGAACAGAAACATACTGAATAAATAAGACCTCAACATTTTATAACCAAGAATACAACACACCAAGATCATCAATATAATCACAAGCTGAGAAAGCACACTTGATGCTCTTATTTCAATGCTTAAATACACATTTAAGCATGCTTGATCCCCAGTCATTCTTTGACAATTACAAAAAGCCATAAACAAGAAAGAAGAACCCACAAAGAAGAACTGGGGTTTCATTCTCAGAATGAGTCTCAGAGAAGAGTTTAATTTTCATAGCAACAAAGACCTGTTTCACAGACCACCTGTGTGAATTAGCTAAAATCTTTTAACTTTTATACCTCAATTTCTTCAAGGAGAAAACAGGAAACGAATATAATAATTCGGTGCATTTATCTTCAGTTTGAATTTTAAATATGTTAAGATAATTAGTAGTAGTCAAGTACAAGAAATATTACCCACTCCATCTTGTATGCATTTTCATTACTTATCAGGCTATTGTGCTTCAAATCATTGAAAACTTTTAAAATATAATTTGTCACCATAATACACTTTAGAAAACCTTGCTTTCAACACTGCTAAAAATCCACCACACTCTGAGATTCAGATTAAGGTATGTGTCACTGATGACAGCAGAAAACGAGATTAGTTGATAAAATATTCACTCCCCCTTCCCAAAATATAACTTGAGAAACTTAACAATACTTTGCAAAAACCCTTTATCCCGTAATTCAATTTTTTCAAATAAATTCTAAGGAAATTATATATAAAAAAGAAAAATGTATAATAATGTTTATTACAGCATTATTACTGTTGGTAAAATAACAGAAACAACTTTAATGTCAAGAATGGAGAATAGTCAACTACACAATGTAAGGTTACCTCAAGAGATGGTAATGTAAAAATTAAGAATTAATGAAGCATTTCTAAGAACATGGAAAAATATGATTAAAAAGAAAAGGAACACCACTTTAAATATTGTATGACCATAAGTATGTGAAACAAATGAATATTAAACAAAAAACTAGCTATACATTTATATACAGTATAAAAATTATCCTAACAGAGTATAAGAAGAGTATATCCTATGAAAACATAGTATATGATTTAGTAATTCTCAAAGGTGAGGATTAAAGAATACAGAGCAATACTCAGGAGAAAAAGAAAATGGGGATCAAAAGATCCCCAAATAAATTATTTAGGATTTGCCCATATTATAATAAGAGGTAGGAAGACATAATTTTACACTCTACTGCTCTTTAATATTTACATGTTTTGTGTACTTGATCTTTTAAGGACAAAAGTCTTATTTCTTTTGTATATCCAGCACAGCCTAAATAATGAATAAGTGATTTTTAGCCAACTAACTAATCACAGCAAGACAGGCAAGGGATAAAATAGCCTAAACTTCTCAATTATCCGTGGCTACACTTGCCACCCATGGAAAAAACTACCAAGTCCTCTCATTAATGTACAATCATTCTATTTCTTCCAGTAATTTATATTACAGTTTAAAAGGTTGTCTGATATCTTCACAAAAACGAAGAAATCAAAGAAGATGACTATATGTCTAGCTAAAATAAAAAGTTTCTTAATGTTTGTGCTTATTGACATACAGTTGTAAAAAGGGAAATCATAAGGAAAGCGTTAATAAAAAAAGAGCTAAACAAACAAAAAGTAAGTAAACACTAAGTAAAGAAAAATATCTTAACAAGTTATAGGCATTCCCAAAAGTTAAGTCTCATTAAAACTGTAATATATCCAGGAAAATTAAAAATCGTGACTTTTATCTAAGAATCTTAGGCAGGATAACTTTTAGTGATGATTTAAGACAGCATCTTGCATTAGTGACTGTGCTTGATTTCCAAAGAAAACTATACACGTGGTGACATTTTTGCCAACCCTCAATTACCTGGACACAAGTAAAGTTTGCCAACTACGTTTCATATTCACATGTTTTGTCATACTTGGTCCCATAAGGACAGAAGTTTTATTTCTTTTGTATATCCAGCACATGCTGGTCTTTGGATGTCATAATTTCTTCTCTAAAGTGCTTGTTTTAAATATAAAGCATTTATTATTTTGATAAATATAGTTTTAAAAATACATAAACCAACTGAACAGTTATATGTTAACAGTTTCATTTTCTTAAAATACATAATACATTAAATCTGAGTTTATATTTTGGTTTCAATTTGGGGGGTAAGCATGAAAGTTGCTAGGTAAGACAGAGCTAAGTCAAATTAAACACTCCCACCACTCATTTAAAAAGTTAAAACATAACTTACTTTGAGATTACTTGTGGGGCACTAATTTCAAAATAATAATTTAAATCTTCTCTAAGGATTTAAAAGCAAAACGGTCAGGTTTTAAAAATAAAGACATCTATATATTCAAGTGCCACATAAATAATTTGCCTAATTACATGTTTAACTTCTATTTACAATAATTAAAACTGACAATTATGAAATCGGCATAACCAACAAGGAGATCCAATCTCTGAAAAGCACAAATGCTAAGGGCTGAGAATAAATATAACATAATTATAAAATGATTGCCATTTATTTAGCAACAGTACCAAGGGGTTAAAAAAGAAAAAGAGATTGAGGAACCATATCCGTAAAATTCATCTGCCAACTCTTATTTGAGGTCTAAAGGCAGTCTAAATTTGCCTAATTACATGTTTAACTTCTATTTACAATAATTAAAACTGACAATTATGAAATCAGCATAACCAACAAGGAGATCCAATCTCTGAAAAGCACAAATGCTAAAGGCTGAGAATAAATGTAACATAATTATAAAATGATTGCCATTTATTTAGCAACAGTACCAAGGGGTTAAAAAAGAAAAAGAGATTGAGGAAACATATCCGTAAAATTCATCTGCCAACTCTTATTTGAGGTCTAAAGGCAGTCTAAGAGCACTGACACTTCAATAATGAAAATATCTGACCCAGTTAATAGTCCCACAACTTGAGTAAATTTAGAGTGATTTGTGAAACAGAAAGCTAAGTAGTTTCATCATCAGGATTTACAAACCTAAAGAACACATTCACTAGATTGGACATAATATAAATGTCCTGTATGTTTTTTTAACTTTACCTGAAATGCATGTGAACAACATAAGAAAAGATAAAATTTCCAAAATAATAGTAAAGGCTGTGCTTCTCAGTCCAATAAAGTCTTTCACCTACTAAACGGAGAAGAGAGTTGATTTCCTGCATCCTTTAATCTTTTATACTAATCTCTTCTTTCTGTACAGCACTACCAGAAATACCACCATTTTTATTTGTAGTCAAGCCACTATGATAAAAAGTTCAGATGAAGATGAGAGTTGTAAAGAAAATTTCATTAAAATTGACAATCTAATTCACACACAGTCAATTAATACCACAGTTTGTTTTGATTTTTAAGGATGAAATCAAGTAGTATAGGAAACATTTACTCCTGTATTTCCAGTTCTTGCTGTGTAGGCAGAAAAACAAAGAAAATAAAGTTAGAAGCATGCGGAAATATAAAATGTGATCATCTACAATAAAAACCAAAGGCTAAGAACAATTAAGAGTTATTTTCCTTTAAAGTCAAGGTAGAAAAATGTAAATAAATTTCTTTTGGGGGAAAGCCGGTTACAGCAGAATAGCAATTTATATATGTATATATAACTTAAATATAATAAAGTTAAAACTAAAATAAGAGCACAAAAATTCTTAAACATTTTTAGAGTTTAACAAGATTATAATTGTATATAATTTTTTTTTCTCTCTTCCAGTTCTGTTTACCTGAATAAATCTAGATTTACAAAGTAGTGCAAATAAATTAATTTGGTTGGGAGAAAAGGAAGCAGTGAAATTCCAATAATTAGCTATAAAGCAGGAAACCAAAATTAACATTAACTAAATGAGCAACTACAGAAATGGTGATACAGCTTATGACTTCTTTTAACATTATCTTTTCTGCACAAAAAAAGCTTTGTTCCTGTGCAGAAAAAAATTATCAGTTATTTCCACTTAACACGTTAGGCTAAAATTTTTTTTAAAAAATGAATAATCAAATTCTACTCTTTGTGTAATTCTACTCTCCAATGTGTAATTTTTCAAATAAGTTTATAAATCAGAAACTTTAAGAACCACGCATGAAATTCTGGTCCTAGAAACCTTTAAAATTAAATTTCACTTATAACCATTAAGAATATAATTTACCTCAAATAAGTCATAGCCCTCAGATTCCTGTCTGTCATATGGACGAATGATGCCATCATCATGGATCAGGCGAGGGGGGCGAAGTCTGGACACTTCCTCAGTTGATTCTGCTGCTCTGGTTAAGGCAGCAGAGTAAGGTGTAAGAAAATATGTAAGAATCTTTCAAAATAACACAATATATATGTTGATTAAACACAGAAATATTTGATAAAAAGAGTAATTTTAAATAACTTGCCCAAAATAATGCAAAAAGTATTAAAACTAAATCTGTCTGTCTGAGTCTAAGCCCTCCACCCTTTTCTTAAAGAATTATGTCAAAATAATAAAAGCAGAGACTAGGTCATCTACTTTTTGTGTCCTTGGTATATAGTGCAGTACCTGGCATATGGCAGCTACCAATAAACATTTATTGAATAAAAGAGAAATTGAGCCATAAAAAAAGTATTTTCTTACTCCTTTCTGTTGGTACTCTATTCTTGTGAAGTTGTCATAGATTTCACTTATACTTTAAGATCCTTAAGAGCAGACAAAGTATCTAACCTATTTATGTATCCCTAGCAACAATTCACACACAGACACATATTTTGTACATAGTATGGACTCAATTACCTCTGAATGCCTTGGAAAGTACTGCTGGCCATATCTATGATTCCCCCAGTTGGACGAGCCACAGCACCCACAAGCCCTTTTCCAATTCCTTTGAAGAATCCAGCAGCTCCTTCTTTTTTGGCACCTTCACAAAACCGACAATAAATGTATAAAGACATTTTAAAATAAGCAAGTTTGAACTGAACAAAAACCTGAGTCAAATACTGATTACGCCCAGGAAGCTTACAAGAATTTGGCTTTCTAAAGAAGTCAAATTTAATTCTACAGCAATAAAATAGTGGTTCTCAAAGTGCACTAGAAATGCAAATTCTTGGACCCCACCCCATACCTACTGAATCAGAAACTCTGGGGGTGGGGCCAGCAATCAGTGTTTTAATAAGCACTCCAGCTAATCCTAAAGCATGCTCAAGTTTGAGAACTACTGGTTTAGGAGTGTAGTCAATACCTGTGGCTGGAAGTTCTAAGAACTGACCAGAAAACATTCTCTCTTTTTTTTATGCTCACCATCAGAAGATTTTTCAAGCAGTATATATTTTTTAAATATGACAACTTTACTGAAATATAGTTCACATACCATAAAATTTACCCATTAAAGTATACAAATTAAATGCTGTTCAGTATATCCAGAGTTGTACAACCATCACCACAATCAATTTTAGAAAATCTGTATCATCTTAACAAGAAATCCCATGTCCATTAGCAATCATTTCTCATTTCCCGCTAACCCTCCCAAGCCAATTCTATCCAATTTACCTCTCTTCCTCCCTGCTCCTCCCCCAGACCTAAGCAACCTATCTAAGAAAGATAGATACTTTCTATCTCTACAGATTTGCCTATTCTGGGCATTGTGGTCTACTGTGACTGACTTGTTCACTTATCAGCCTGTTTTCATGGTTCATCCACCTTGTAGCATGTATGAGTACTTGATTCCTTTTCATGGCTAAATAATATTCCATTGTATGGATATACAACATTTTATTTATTCATGCATTAGGTGATGGACATTTGGGTATTCAGAATAATGCTGCTACAAGCATTCATATAAGTTTCAGTTTGAAAAGCTGTTTTCAGTTCTTTGGGGTATATACCTAGGAGTAGAATTGCTGGATCATATGGTAACTCTGTTTAACCTTTTGAGGAACTACCAGACTATTTTCCTCAAAAGCGGCTGCACTATTTTACATTCTCACCAGCAGTGTGTGAGGGTTCAAATTTCTCCACACACCCTTCAACAACTGATTCTAGCCATCCTAGGTGTGAAGTGGTATCTCACTGTAGTTTTGATTGGCATTTCCCTGAGAACTATTGATGTTGAGCATCCTTTCCTTTCCTTACGAGCCACTTGAGTATCTTCTTTGGAAAAATGTCTATTCACATCCTTTGCCCATTTTTAATTGGAGTGTCTTTTTAATACTGAGTTTATATATTATTTTATTAGTTTATATATTTATTAGCTTATATTTTATGACTGAGTGTAGTGGATTGAATTTTGTCCCTCCAAAACTCACTGAAGCTTAATTGTGTCCCCCAAACTTTATGTATTAGAAACTTTGTCCCCACTGTTACTGTTAAGAGGGTGGGAAATCCTATTAGGGTAATTGGAAGGTAGAGCCTTGAAGAGGTGATTGGATTGTAGGACCATGCAGTAGTGAATAGATTAAAAATGGTGGTCAAGGGCATGGTTCTAAGAACTTTAAAAGAAAAGGAAAGTTTGTCTTTCTTTCTCTCTCTCTGCTTCCACCATCTTGCAATGTGAGACCCCTGGGTCACTGTTGCCACCACCAGATGGACTTTGAACTTCCCAGTCTCAGAAACTGTAAGCAATAAATTTCGTTTTTCTTTATAATTACCCAGTTCCGTGTATTTTGTTATAAGCAACACAAAACAGACTAATACACTGAGTTTATATACATTATATATCCTTTATATATTCTAGATACAAGTCTCTTATCAAATATATGATTTGCAAAAACTTTCTCCCATCCTGTGGACTGTCTTTTCCCTTTCTTGATGGTGTCCTTTGAACCATAAGAACTTTAAATTTTGATGAAGTCCAATTTATTTTTTCTTTGGTTCCTTGTGCTTTAGGTGTCATATCTGAGTTTAGCCTCTCCCCAAGTCATGAAGATATACTCTTTACATTTTCTTCTGAGTTTTATAGTTTTGCTCTTACATTTAAGTATTTAATCCATTCTGAATTCATTTCTATGTATGATATATGTATGGGTCTAATTTCATTCTTTTGTGTGTGGATATCCAGTTGTCCCAGCACCATCTGTTGAAAACACTATTCTTTCCTTATTGAATTATCTACCAATTAACTATAAATATAAAGGTTTATTTCTGAATTTTCAATTGTATCCCACTGACCTACATGTCTATCCTCATGCCAGTATCACACTCTTTGTTACTGTAGCTTTGTAAGTTTTGAGATTAGGAAGTGTAACTCCTCCAACTTTGTTCTTCTTTCTCAAGATTGTTTTGCCTATTTTGGGTCCCTTGAATTTCTATGTAAATTGTCAATTTCTGCAAAGAAGTCAACTTCTTTGGGATTTTGATAGGGATTGCACTGAACAAGCAACGTGCTTTTTTAATGGGATGAAACAACAACAAAAAAATGAAGTCAATTGCTATTGAAGGCCCAAAGGCCCTCGAATAAATATAATCTAGTTTATCTATGGCCCTGCTGACAAAAGCATTAAAAGTCTGAATCACAGTCTACTACTTAACCTCTCTGCGGTCTGATGAAAATACAGTTTAAGACTATGAATATAAAATTCAGTCAGTAATTCTCTCAATCAAATATCTAGTAGAAATAACATCTACTTTTTTTACCATGCATCAGCTCTTCAAGACTTTCTACAGGAAAGAAATATTCTCAACTTACCTTCCACAGGTTTTGTTATTATGCCAGTCACTCCACCAACAACTCCCTGAAAGGGAAATCAATCATAAAGTCTTGACTGAATGGAAGGTGCTTAATTTTAAACCAACCACTAGAGGTCTCTACAGACATAATGAAAATAACTTCTTTTTTTAATTTAAGGATTTCTTTGATAATGTAAACAATATGCACATGTCAATGCCATGATTTTTAAAATATTACATCACTGTAAATTCTAAATGAATTATAAAATTTTATAATAGAAAGAGCAGTAAAGCAGGTGAAAAGATTTTAAATCTGGTTCTGGTACCAATCAGCTATGTAATCACGGGCAGTCAATTCAATTGCTGTAAACCTCAGTTTCCACATTAGTAAAATGAGTGAATTGAGCCAAATGATCTCTAAAGTCTAATTACAAATTTAAATGAGATTACTTTGCAATTGAGTGAAAGTGAAGAAAACGGAAAATAAAGGAAACTCCCAAGGATAGCAAACAACCTGACAAATAAAGCACTTGAGAGAATACAACACGAAATTGTAAATCATTGGCACAAACACAGCAATTACTGAAATTATCTCCAAAATTACAACATTAATATGATTCTATATTCTTAATAATGGTCAAGTAATGGTAGTAACTAAAACTACCTGTATATTCTATAAACACACAGAAAGAGAACTGAAGGACAGTCACTAAACTGAAAAAATTAAGACACCTTTGGACAGAAGTGAGGGGTGAAAGAGTGCTCTAGCTTTACCTATAATGTTTTAACTACTTATTAAAAGGAGCAAATCATGTTAACTGAAATAAGCCAGGCAAAGAAAGAGAAATACTGCATGTCTTCGCGCACAAGTGGGAGCTAAAAGAATAAACAAATAAAAAAGAAAGAAAGATACAACCATCACAATAACTCATTGAACTTTCAAAAGGAGAGAATGGAACTGAGGCCACCGGAGGTGGGAAAGGGGGAGGTGGAGGTGAGGTTAGCGAGAAATTGGTTCAGGGCCACAAAATACGATTACATTTTGTAACGTTGAATATACTAATTGTCCTGACTTGAACATCATATATGGCACACAGATATTGATATTCAATGCTGTATCCAACAGATATGCATGATCAATTACGTTTCAATAAAAAATAATAATAATAAATAAATTAGGTAAAAAAAGAACATAAGTTTTTATATATTCTTTATAAGAAGAATATTCATACATTACCTCTATAACTAAATGGTATTCACACACTGCCTGTAATTTTTAAAGTATTGAAATGTAATGAAAGGCAGTTCCTGGTTTATCTATCAACTCTTAACTTTCACACACATCCCTTCTACAGAAATGGTCAACTGACGGCCACCTAGAGAGTCCTCCTCACGGCAGTCACCATCATTACGGTCTTTCTCTGCTTCCCACCACCTCACCTTCCACACCACTGCTAACTGCCATCATTATAGTTTTACTCCAGCCCAAAAGCCAAAGTAAGTCTAGGGACTTGAGGGATAGATCTGATGGTGAGAATGGGGAAGGAGAGTAAGAAAGTAAGAAAGAAATCAGAAAGCCCACAATTTATCACTACTGCTACTCTGACAGACCTAGACTCATAAGTAGCATTCTAAGATTCAAACAACCAGGTGGAATACATATTCTAAAGTGTACACACACACACACACACACACACACACGTTGAAGGTTTCTTGAAGATTCAGCAGGAGACTTACCCTCAGGAAGCCCTTTCCTCCTCTAGCCAGGCTGTCTCCCAAATCTTTGGGCTGTCGACCCATCTCCTCTCTTCTTTTTTGCTGATATTCCTTGTCCATTGTAATTGCTGCCAAACCTTTACCAACAGAACCGGTGATTCGAGACACAACTCCTGCTGCACCACCTATCAAAAGGCCCATAGAAGTCAGCCACATTGTTTCTTTAAAGATCATTATCACAGTAAACAGCATGCAACTGCTTTAAACAGTTGCTTAAAATTTTGTCTCATACACAAACATGCAGAAATTAATTTTTCTCATCTGTCAAGGAAAGGAATAAAATTATTTAAAGTACAGTTGTCCCTCAGTATCCATGGGGAATTAGTTCTAGGACCCCCACGTATACCAAAATCCTCAGATACAGTCTCACAGTCAGCCCTGTGTTCGAAAGCACATAAATGAGAAGTTGGCACTCCAGATACGCAGGTTCCACATTCAGTGAATACTGTATTTTCTGTCTGCAGTTGGTCGAAAATAATCCACTCATAAGTGGTAACATGCAGTTCAAACCTGTGTTGTTCAAGAGTCAACTGTACATTGATTCAACACTACAAGTAAATATAAAAACCCAGTTTCTTAATAGGCCACTGTTAACTTGCTCTCTATTTAAAAACAAGAAAACATGTCTTTTAATAGGAATTACTAGGAAAATGATCCCTCTCTTATTAAATATAAGCATTTGTTTTTCATAAACAATGCATTTTATAATACTATAATAAAATATATATACTGATTATATATATATATACACATACATATACACAAATATGTGACACATACCTACTGTGTGTCCAAAGAGACTTCTTACTCCAATCACTAGCCCCTCGGCAAATTCTTCAGGGCCTTGAACAGCACCCTGGCCAAAAAAGCAAAAAAATTTATTATTTAAAACTTAAATAAGTTTAAGACATTTCATGTAATATTTCAGGGTTTCCATGAAGATACAGAATCTGTAAAGATCCATAAACATTGTGATGAAGCAATTTTCAACCTCTACCTCAAATAACATTAGAACACCTATTGTATTTGCAGATACTTTGAACCCACATGATCTCAGCAATTCTATAATAAGACAAAAACAAGATAGGTGTAAATCACTGAATTCAAACACAATTTGAAGTTGACCTCCCAGTACAAAGTTCCATCTTTGTATAACTTTGTAAAACCGCTAAAGCAAGCTACACTGCTAACAGACTAACAGCCCACAAGTTCTTGGCTCTCTTGTTTTCCCTTTTATTCTCTATGCTTTGTCCTTGTAAAACTCTCACTACATTGGGCTCCCAGCTCCTTTAAATGGAGGTGAGCACGTTAGACGAAAGCTTGAATATAAAACAAAGTTAGCTTTTAGTGGCCCATTAGTCCTTTCCATAGTGGTGGAATGGCCTTGAAATAGTTTAATCTACCTAACCCTCCCAGTGTCCTTACAAGTGCATTAAATCCTGGAAAATGTGGGCTTGCTTTATTGCCCAGACACTAGAACTGCTCATTTAATTCTAAAAAATCTTTCATATCATCTCAAGTACTTTAAAATAAAAACATAAAATTGATATATTTTTGTTATTTGAACATTATTCAGTTCCTAGATACAATTAAAATACAAATTATCATTTGTCATTAAAAAAACAGAACATCCACTTTTCTATACTTATACTTAAAATAAATAAAAGATCAACACCTGGAAAGGTTCATAGAATAAAGCTTCGACTCCTTCAGACAGACCTCTAATTAATCCAAATGGGTTTCCAAGCACATCTAAGCCCAATACGAGGACATACATCTGTTTCAAGAACTAAAGAAGAAGAAGAAAAAGTAAGTTAAGTCCTTTACAACTGTTGTAAGAAACATTATAATGTAATAGAAAAAAAGGAGGATACTGATTAAGTTTGTGTTAAAGGAAGGCTGTGTGGAATTACTACCACCACATCCATTAATTGATCTTTCACTATGTGATGGACACTATGCTGATACTTTACATGGTGTTTTCATATTACACAGAACCAGGTTTGAGGCACAGGCTGCCATTCAGCAGTTATGTGACCTTAGGCAAGTCATTTAGTGTCTATGGGCCTCAGCCTTCTCATCTATAAAATGGGAGGTTATACTGACCTTGCATGGGTGAGTATGCATATTAAATGAATATATAATTCAATAATTGTTAGTTGTTTTATTATTATCATATCATCACTATCACAATTAAACTAGATGGGGAATACCTAGTAACCAAAACAAAAAATAAGGGAAAATATATCCTTACTTGAACATATAAAAACCATAATGTCTATTCACACCATAGGAGAAGGGATCATCTAGCAGAGGAAGGAAAGGGAAATGTCACAGTGCAGTTCCTTGGTATAGCAATGGTACCCAAGTGGCCCTGTAACAACTACTCTGTCTCTGTGTATACACATCTTGAATCACAGAGTAACTGAGGCATAGGGAGGAAACTGGCTTAGAATTCCTTTTGCAATTCCACTAGATTACTTTTAGAAACTATAATCACTGAAGAAATCAAGCATAATGACTCCAAAATCACTATTCTTTCCCAAAGAGGTAAATGTATAATCACAAAGGGGAAAAGGCACTGGTTTTTTAATTTTTTTCATTGATTTTGTGTAAAGTGTTTAATTTTTGTGTAGTCAAATCTATTTTGTATCTTCCACTGAAATTTTTTTCCATTGCTTTTAAACTTAGAAAGACTTTATTCAAAGATCTGGTAACAATTAACTTTTTTTTAGTCTTTTACTTTGAATTTTATATTTTATCCTCTATTTTCTCTGAAAGTTAATGTGCATGTGAGGTGGAAATCTTCTAAATGAATTTCTTCTCCCAGGTAATTACTTGCCCCAATATCATTGTTGAATACTCAATTCAATATACATTTATTGGATTTGTACATATCTGGCCTACATAAATATTGTCATATTAAATGTAGCAAAGAGTTCTTACTATCAATACTTTGCTATACGATTATGCTAAAATCACACCATATTGCTACATATTTCTAAACATAATTCTGTTTTAAAACATGGTCAATTTAAAACATACTCCTAAAATAATTCAATTTTTATTGTACATTCGTGTATTATCTACACATGAGTAACCCCCACCAAAAAAAGACTCTTTACCTTATTGCATGAACAAAATAAGCATACTTTAAGAGTATAATCTGAAATGAACCAAACTCTTCAAGTGTAAGTAGTAAATTATCATTTTTCTGAGCTAACATTGCACAAATGGAGAGAATTAATACTCAGAAACATAACCCTGGTCCAAATCTTTCCCAGTGTACTTTAACAGAAGTCTTACTTGAATATAAGGTCATCCACATCAGTCAGAGTAGCACCTATGCTTTTCAACAGGAGGTTGATAGAATGAATTGCAATCATTTCTTGTTTTCCTTTCTCTGATTCTTCACCTCCAGAACCCAAGGACAGACTCAAATGCAACTGAAAGAAAAATAATGTTCAATAAATGAAAGCTATAAACAAAAAAAATTACATACACAGAAACCAGATTTTCCAGATACAAAAATGTCTTTGAATTGGAGTTAATAGTGAAAGCTATTATTTGTCATTCTATACATCATAAAGAAAAACCCACTTATACAAGGATCCCTCAAAAAGTTCATGGAAAAACAGAAGTAAAAAATAATACAAATCTTTCCATAAAAGTTTTGAAGACCTTGTATCTGATTCTCAAGTACTTTTTGGTAAAATATAAATTGGTCTGTTCCAAAAATAGACTCTAATTTTATTCAAAGTGTTGTATAAATACCATTCTGTGCATATGGAGGAGACCAACAACTTAACAAAAATGGCATAATCATTTTAAGAAGAAAAACACACCAACTGGCACACAAGTAGTCTACCAGTCAAAATAATGGATAATCATTTATTTTTATCCAATTAAGGTAAATCACTTATGGCAACAGTTAACAATAATGATTACGTTATAATTATACCACAACAACAATTATCAATAACAATGAGATGGCAATTATGGAAACAATTAGCAAATTGTCAGATAAATTTTTAAAATAGTGATAAGGTTTTCAGCTTCCACAAACCCTCCAATTCAGTACTTAAACATGAGATTTCCACATTCCAATTTAGCGTCTACTTCATGCTGTATCATCATTAGTGCAACAGTGCAAGATGACACAGGTAAAAGATAATTCAACATGTAGAAAAACAGATGACTCTCCTTTCTCATTCTGTCATTCCCTAGGCATTTTACCTAACCAATATACCTCAAGTAGAGTGGATTTGGAGCAAGGCCAGGGAAACCTGGTTATTGGGGTTTTTTAAATGTGTACTTCTGCCCATGTGCAAAGTCAGGGAGTATTGGGATCCAAGAAATGTAAGCTCAGGTGGACAAAGATCTAGCCCCTCCCTAGGGTAAAGTTGCCATGGACTAAGAAAATAATTGTGGTTCATAATCTTTATTATTCAGCTTCATGGCACAATTAACAGAGTGCCTAAGAATAGATAAATTATCAATCCTGAATAACCCCCCTAGATTATAAACTCATGAAGTCGTTTTATATCTCCACAGCAACTTCGATAATAGGCATTCAGTAAATATTTACTTAACTATTTGTTTACAACGTATTATTCAATCTCATAAATAATGAATTTTCAGTTAATAATGAGAATAAAATTGTGTATAGTCTATTAGAAGTAGAAAAGGAGGAGGAGGGGTGTTAGGGAGAAACTGGATAATGGACATAAAAAATAATTACATTTTGTGATGATGAATATGCTAATAATCTTGATTTGATCATCACACGTACACAAATACTGATAGTCAACTCTGTACCCCACAAATATGTATAATGAATTATAATATGTTTCAAAAAAAATATGGAGAAAAAAACCTATCACATAAAATAATGTCAGTTTTAAACCTGACATTAGGGATATGTCTGAGACTGCCAAAGGTCAATTAAAAATAGTAATTCCATTTTATAAATCCAGTCATTTAACTGAATGGACTGGTGAATGCAATTGAAAATAATGTGCTGTAAACAGTTTTTGAGAATGTAAAGGATCATAAATATTTTAGAGTTATTTAATTATAAATCTGGCCCATTGCACAAGTTTAGAGCATTATGGTTGATAGGATTTGTGAATTTACCTAGCAGTCACCTTCCCCCATAAAACAAGAAATGGGGAAGAGGAAATGGGTTCATGAAGTACAAAATCAGGCAAGTGAAAGGTATCCAATTTTCCACTCTCATAGTTACAATCAAATTTTGGAAGGGGGAAAAACACCACATCAACAGTATAATAGAAACTTCAGCATTTTCACATGCTGGTTAGGGCGCCCATTATAGCTTTCTGTTTAGACAGTGACAGTAGTTACAAAGTGCAACCAAAACATTAAACGTTGGTAAGACTGCCACGCTTAATTAAGAAATGCTTTTGTCAGCTTCTTCCTTGAATAAAAGGGTTATTAATTCAAGACCAGAGAACACACTCTGGTGGTTCTTCTGTGGGAATTACGGCTGTACATATGTTATAGAGGATTGTCTTAATTATTTCAATTAATCACACAAAATTCCCACCAAATATGTCACACAACAAATTAAAACCTACATTTGTACACAGATCCTTTCAAAGCTCTACAACAATTCCACTAAATTTTCAAAATAATAATTACAACAAACCTTAACAGGAGAAATATGGAAATGTTCAAAGAAACTAAGAATGGACATATCAGTCATTGAAGTCTCCATTAATTCTGTGTTCAGAGCATCAATATCTTGTTGGATTAACTTTGTCTGAAAAAAAAATAAATCAAGAATTTCCATTTAAATTTTTTTCTCTGCTACAATTAGTTCAAAAAATGGCTAATTTAAATTTTTTTAATTTTATAGTTTTCCCAAAAAATAAAAACTATTACCCTTTTTCTTTCAGCTTCAGGGTCAGTTGTTGGTGTGAACAGTGCAATAATAGCTCCTAGAAATCCCTGATCAACTCTTAAGGCCATTTCCTGAATGAGGACCATAAAATACCTAAGAAAAAGAATTTTTTAAAAGATAGAAGAGGGTTTCTATCAAGCCTTGTAATTTTTAATGTTAAAACTTTGATTTTAGCCAAAAGGCACAGAAAGATCAAAATTATGTTAATAAGATCAAAGTCTACATAGACTTTTATTAACATAAAAATTATGTAATAAGGTCAAGGTCTGCTTAGACCGAGAATTATTCACTAGAGTGAAAGCTTCACTCAAGATAATACTGCTATATGAAACTTAGCACTTAAAGTCCCAAATGCCCATTTATCATGTCACAGAAGAGGCACATACAACTAGGTGGCATGGCATATATTAACCAATTTTTAAAGTTCACAGCAAGTACTTTCAAAAACACAGCTCACAAAAATATATATGATTTATATTTCACTTACTATTTTATATTCTAATTGGAGTTACAAAGGGGAAAAGCTGGTTGAAGAAATTCTACACTTTAAAATATGTACAGACTATTATTTTAGTTTGAGGAAAAAAATTATTTGACCAAAAGTGGATCACTTTCAAAAAGAGTAAAGTTTATTTTCAAAATAGATTCTCATTTTAAATTCCTGTAGGCAAACAGTGGGAGTCTTTACTTACTTGAACTGTAAGACTTTACTGTATTCATTAAATCTTGTGATGACGCTCACATCAATGAAAGGTTTGGGCTCTAAGAGGAAGAAAGAACACAATTTTTAAAAAACCTCAAACTTTATAACTAGGTAAAACTAATGTCTACTTAACTTTTATAAATACAGTATACCTATATCTCAACTTAATTTTTGGTGTTTTACCTGAATCCAAAGCAATAGATTTTGGAGGGGCCACAGGATGAAATACGACAGGGAACATTGTACCTGGTAACTGACTATCAACCTGAAAGAAAACAAAACCAACTCAGCAATTTAAAATAGCCTAGACTTAAACTTTCAGTTTCAGAGACAATATTATAGAACTAGCCACTAATTTCATCATAATTAGGTATCTGCATGTATATGTGGGTGCTATTAGTAGTTTCACTTCTAATCTGTAAAATTTCTTATACACCTCAGCAATAGTAAACCTTTATATCTCATAACTGCATTAACATTGTACACCATTAATAAAAATAGTTGTACCTGTGGATCATGTGAGATTTTAACCCTCTATGGTTTAAATAAAATGTAAGTAGAGACTGAATATGAAAATAGGGTATAGGTAAAAAAAAGAAAAAGAACTAAAATGTCCAAAATAGTACTTACTAGTTAAAAGAAAGGTAGGGAGGTGGGATAATGGGTATAAAACTATGCTATCTATGCTAAGTGGATCACTGTACAGAATATGCATGTATTGAAACAACATACTAAGCTCCACAAATAGGCACAAACAAATGTTAAAATATTTTGGAAAAAAAAAAATAAAAGAAAGGAAGGGAGAGAGTCCAGGACAGAGGGAGGATGTAAGCATCCAAAAAGAACCTCCAAAAAAGCCCTGTTCTTTGCCATGAAGAATGATAAAGGAAAATCTTATTTGGGGATCCCATTACAAATTCAAAGGAACATCTTAGAATATCATAATCTCAGTGCACGATAACACTCTTGCAAGCTAACTGTTCAAATTAAATAATCTCAATAGTCACAAGGTCTTTGGACTTGGATTGTAAAATGTTGTTGAATCAACAGGATATGTGAGAGAAGGAGAAAAAATATACAAACAAAAAGAAAAGATACCAATTACAATATAAACCGCAACTTTGTAAAAAAAAAAAAAAATTCATTCCCAAGATTCCAACAGTGATTAGAAATAACTATTTAGTGGAAGATGACAATGTTACCTGAAGCCAGTACAACCTGGCCCTTAAACTTCTCTGGTGAGGAGACTGCTTAAATTCAATCTGAATTCCTGACAAAAAATCTCGTTTAATAGGGCACCGAACAGGGAGGCGCATTTCCATTGGAACTTTATTAAAATTGACCTGGAAAACAAGCACGTTTTTATGATGAGCTGGTATTAACAGAGTAGCTATTTCATTTTAAATATATGTTTACTTATCAAATTGAAAGAGAGAGGTGTCTTTATCTCTGTGTCTTACCAAAAGATCTAAGGTGATCTACACTTGAGATCTTTGAAGCAGAAGTATCACTTCTCTAACAAAGTCATTAGGAAAACAAGAAAACTGTGAAACCTTTCAATTATGGCGTCTGTACTTTTAAAAAAACATGCTTTACATAAAAGAAAACTTCAACAGTAATGGATAATTCCAGATAATTCTTAAAATTTGTCTTGCAATGGAAAGCTAATAGCTTTTTAATGACTGACACTAATTGTATTCTTTGTTTTTTATTTAAGCATGGCCAACAGTGATGGGGATGGATGAGGAACCTAACTGGTAACCAGTGCAAACTCAACGATTTAGACACCAAAGATAAATAGTAACCAAACTGCATGACTGAACCAGAGCAAGCCAGAAATTGCAGTCAAACTTCTCAAGGCTTCTTAGAGCAAAGGTGACTTTTAGTTTTAACTGTGTAAAAGCCCATGTAAACCATACTTTTATTTATAGACGCCTACCCAGATCTAACAATCATTCACGTTTAATGAATTTAATTGAGCGCGGGGAGGGGGGGGGGGTTCATCAATGAAACACATAATTTTACACAGTCTTTATTTAGCAATATATAGGTATTATTCTAAATATAAAAGAAAAGGTTTCAATAAACAATCTTAATTTCTCCATAATCCTACTGAAAACCAAACAAGTTCCATGAAACTATCAGATTTGTAAACAGAACAAATTATAAAATTCAGAAGGGAAACATGTTTAAATCCTATTTCATAGTATATGATTTAATAACAATACATCCAGTACTAGTAATAAATGTTTATTTACTAATAAATAAGGTAATTTCTACACTCATATCTTTACTTGGACATTAAAATTTTACTTACTACCAACACCACCAACAAAATATACATATAAAAATCAAAACAAAAAATTTTGGTATACCTCAAAATTATTGTCTAGCTTAATCCAGTCATGGTCTCCTGATACTTGATATTTCTGATAGGACTGTTCCAATAAGATTATCTGCTTTTGACTAAAAGGCTTCCATTTCTGTTTTGGTTTCATCTCCCAAACAACACCAGAACTAAAATAATTCACAAAGAAAATAAAATCAGGAATGTATACTTAGGTTCATGGAACTGTTATTCAACTCCAGATTATTGCAACTCTCTATATCCTATAAAAATTATATTGATACAAGAGATTTCCTATAATACAACTATATCTGTGTTGCACAAATACATAAAGGAAAGGGACAGGAGAAAATATTTTTCTATCACACACTGACATCAATAAATCAATTAAGGAATTGGCAAACTTTTTCTTCAAAGAGCCGTACAGTAAATATTTTAGGCTTTGCAGGCTGAGTCAAAATTGAAGTTACTACATACGTACTTAGATAAAGAGAGAGGATAAAAAAACTTCCATAAATTTTTAATTGATGAAATGTAAAATGTAAACATAACAACAGAGTACAATTTTTAAAAACACAAGTCTATTAGTGAGAAAACACTTTTTGTGAGGGTGACAGCATTTCACCTAATTAATGTTCCTTATTATCAAAATCTATTGCAAATGCTCATCTGTTAATGCTGGTCTATGAGCTTCTTTAAAAATGTCATTTCGCACAAATAGGTACTGCCAAATACTGATATCAATCTAGGAGAATATTATTTTAATTGAGCTTATATATCACTTAAAAGGCATTTATAAAATTTTATTAAATTCTTCTCTTGATATTTGCCAGATAGCGTATTGATACACAGCAGATCATTTCCAATTAAAGATAAAGCTCCTCAATTGCACGAATAGTCTTTGAAATGTAGAAATTTCCTTTGTGTTTGCATTGAGGTCAGATAAAATGTTGCTGGAACTGAAGGTGCATGTCATAAAATATCCCCTCCAAATATGTGTGAAAGTGAAGATCTTGCTTCTTGTTTTAACTTTGGACAGCACATGAAGTATATAAAAAAGCTCAACATTACTTGTCATTCAAATGTTAGTTGTCAAAACAACTTAACTGCAGTATAAGTTTGATTTATCAGTGCTGTTTTGCCTTCTAATTTTAGGTTGAAATTCGTTAAGAAACTTTATTAATTCTGCAGCAAAAGCTAATTTCCAAAGCCAATCAGTGTTCACTAGTAGCAGCTGAAGGTAGCTCTGTTATGAAAAATTCTAATCCTGGCCCGAAACTCAAAAAGAATAAAAAGTTACCAGAGTAAAGCCACTAAACTGCTGTGTGGTAAGACAAGTCAGGACACTCAGGGCTATTTCTAATAAAAATTCACAGAACTGATACTGGTTGTCCACAAGGCTGAATGAAATTCACTGTTTGACACTCCTGGTTTGATAACACGTATATTCAAATATTTTCCACTAAGTACCTGCTGACAAATACAATGAACATAGGTTTTAAACACGTTACATTTTCACTAGTTTTGTGAGTTTTTCCAACTAAGTCTTCTTCTGCTCCAAACATATTTTTCCTATAATCAGTCATAATAATTCTTAGAAGATTACATTTCACGTTGTACTGAATTAGTATTTCTTCAACCTGTTTGAAAACATTCTTGCCTGTAGTTGTTCTAGGCAGACTATTCACAGATGCTAATTCTTCAGTCACTTCAAACTCAGCACTGACTTCTCAAATATACAACAATATTGGTAACATCTGTTGACTCATCAAGAGACAAATAAAACCATTCAGTTGTCATTTCCCTTTTTTTTAATTGACTATAGATGTTGCCCTGAATGGCCTCAATTCTTTAAACAACTGTTCTCACTGAAAGGCTAATGGCCTTAAACAAGTTTATTTTCTTTGCCCACATTTCTTTAGCTGCTGAATCAGACATGATTCAATTAACTCACTATTGGTAAAAGGCTTTCCTTACTTGGTTAACAAATGAGTCACTCAGAAACTTACTTTGGTTGCAGCCTCATTTTTGTCTTTTATTTTTGTGAAGAAATTCTGCTGTGATGAGGTATTCAGTCTTAAATTTTCTAATTCTTCTAACCATTGCTCTCCCATGATTTGGGAATGTTGGGATGTATGCTTAGTTTGGAATGTCAATGTGCACTGCATTATTTTAACACACCTATAATGTCTTAACAAAATAATGCTTTACAATTTAATTTGATAAGATAATCCACATTCCATTAAGCCCTAAAAGGGCGACAAAGTCCACTTTCCTCTTGAATGTTGCAGTATAGCAGTATGTATGACACTCAAACATTCACTGTGATTTGTAGTGCAGTGAGCAATGATGCAGAAACAGCCATAGACATGTAAAAGAATAAATATGGCTGTTCCAATAAAACTTTGTTTTATGGGCAACCAACTTTGAATTTCATAATTTTCATGTGTTACAAAATATTCTTCTTTTAATTTTTTAGCCATTTAAGGATGTAAAAAAATCATTCTTAGATCAAAAGCTGTACAAAAACAGACAGTGGGCTATATTTGGCTAACAGGCCATACTTTGCTGACACTAATTAGAGAATACAGTTTGCATAATGATAAAATAGCTTGCTGATATTACTCAAAAAGTGTTAACAATGTCCTCACTATACAATGTATTTAGGGAATACCAGTTAATAAAGGTACTTAATAAAATATCTAGTATAAATTATATAAATCCAGCACCTATTCATAATAAAAACTGAACAAACTAGAAATAGAGGGGAACATCATCAGCTTGATAAAGAACATCTACAAAAATTTACAGCTAGCATCACACTTTATAGTGAGAAACTAGATGATTTCCCACTAAGATCAGGAACAAGGCAAGGATGTCCACTCAAACCACTCCCATTCAACACTGTACTGGAAGACCTAGATAACACAATAAAACAAGAAAATAAAATAAAATAAAAGGTGCACAGATTGGGAAAGTAGAAATAAAGCTGTCTGTTCACAGAGGACATAATTGTCTATAAAGAAAATCCCAAAGAATCAACAACAGTAACAAAAAACGCCTATAACTACTAAGCAATTATAATAAGGTGGCAAGATATAAGGTTAGTATATAAGTCAATTGCTTTCATATATGCCAGCAATAAACAATAGGAATTTGAAACTAAAAGCACAATACCATTTACATCAGCACCAAAGAAATGAAATACTTAGGTAAAAACAAAATCTACCAAAATATGTACACAATCTATATGAGGAAAACTACAAAAGTCTGATGAAAGAAACCAAAGATCTAAACAGACAGCTATTCCATGTACAGGAAAATGAAGACTCAAAATTGTCAAGATCTCAGTTCTTCCCAAATTGATCTAGCCATTCAATGCAATCCCAATAAAAACCCCAGCAAATTATTTCGTGTACGTCAACACTGATTCTAAAGTTTATATGGAAAGGCAAAAAGAGCCAACAAAACATTGAAGGAGAGAACTGATAACTGGAATTGGAAGAATGATAGTACCAAATTTCAAGATTTAATGTAAAACTACAGTAATCAAGACAGTGTGGGATTGATGAAAGAACAGAGAAATAGATCAACGGAACAGAATAGAAAGCCCAGACATACACCCAAACAAATACAGTCAACTAATCTATGAAAAGGAATAAAGGCAATTCAATGGAGAATAGTGTTTTCAGCAAATGGTGTTAGAACTGGACATCCATATGCAATACAAATCAATCCAGACATAATGCTTACACAATCACAGAAATTAACTCAAATTGGATTATAGACTTCAAATGCACACAAATTATAAAACTTCTAGAAGATAACAGGAAAAAATCTAGGTGACCTTGGGTATAGAGATGACTTTTTAGATATAACACCAAAAGCACAATCCATTGAAAAAAAAAATGGTGGGCCGGCCTGGTGGCGCAATGGAGAGTGCGCCGCTTGGGAGTGTGGCGGCGCTCCCGCCGAGGGTTCGGATCCCATGTGGAGACCAGTTCCCACTCACTGGCTGAGCGTGGCGTGGGCGCAACACTGAGGGTTGTGATCCCATTGCCGGTCCCCGGTACAGGCGCGACACTGAGGGTTGCGATCCCGTTACCGGTCAGTAAAAAAGACAAAAAGGAAAAAAAAGAAAAGAAAAGAAAAAAAAAATGGTAAGTTGGACTCTGCCTTGGATTGAATGTACCCCCAAAACTTGACCCCAATTGTGACAATGTTAAGAAGGTGGGAAATGCTATTGTGGTGACTGAAAGGTGGGCCTTGAAGAGGTGACTGGATTGTGAGGACTGTCCCCTCATGAATGGATTGATCCATTCTTGGATTAGTGGGTGTGGTTCTGAGGGCTTTAAAAGGACAGCGCATGCGGTGCTTTCTCTCTCTCTCTCTCTCTCTGCTCTGTCATTTTCTGCCATGTGAGACCCCTACATTGCTGTAAAGCACTACCAAAGAAGACCCTCATTAGATGTGTTCCTTGGACTTTGGACTTCCCAGCCTCTGAAACTGTAAGCAATAAATTTCATTTTCTTAAAAATTACCATGTTCTGTGTATTTTGTTATAAGCAACAGAAATGGACTAGTATAGACTCTATTAAAATTTCTGCTCTGAGAAAGAAAATGTTAAGAGAATGAAAAGACAAGCCACAGACTCGGAAAATATGTTTGCAAAACACACATCTGATTAAAAACAAACAAACAAAAAACTGGTATCCAAAATAAACAAAGAACTCTTAAACAAAAATTTAAATATAGGCAAAAGGTCTGAACAGACAGCTCACAAAAGAAGATATACAGATTGCCAAAAGCATATGAAAAGATACTCAATATCATGTCATCAGGGAATTGTGAATGAAAACAATGAGATACCACTATATGTTTACTGGAATGGCTAAAATCCAAAACACTGACAACACCTAATGTTGGCAAAGGTGCAGAGCAACAGGAACCCTCATTGCTGGTGGGAATGCAAAAGGGTACAGCCACTTTGGAATACAGTTAGTTAGTTTCTTACAAAACTAAACACACTCTTACCATAAGATCCAATCATTCTACTCCTTGGTATTTACCAAAATGAAGTGAAAACTTATGTCTACACAAAAACCTGCACACAAATGTTTATAGCAGCTTTATTCATAATTGCCAAAATGTGTAAGCAACCAAGATGTCC